AAAATTATAACCATTGGGCTAATAACTATTTAAAATTACAATGGCACTGAAAAAAGTGACTTATGGCTACTTCTCATGCTTATGACCATGGTCATAAGCATGAGAAGTAGCCATAAGTCACTTTTTTCAGTGCCATTGTAATTTTAAATAGTTATTAGCCCAATGGTTATAATTTTAGAGAGAGAGAAAGAGAGAAATAGTATTAATATAGTGGGATAGTTTCTTCCTCCTTAGCTCTGGAAACAAAACATTGTAACAAGAAGAAATGCATATAATGTTATATATAAATAAATGAATAAATCTCATGCAACAGAATGTCATAAAAGTGTATTACAATTTTCTTTTTGTTTCAGGTTACTTGATCAGAGTGCCATGTTCTCAAATAAGAATACAAATATGTAAGTGCATAATTAGCTTTTACCATGCTGAGCCATCAGTAAAAGAATTTGAAGGTAAGAGTTATTTTGATATATCTTATTTGATATATCTTAATAAAATTAGTTTACCACAATGTTAAAAATATGAACAGCCTGTCCATATAGTAAATGAGAGACCAATAAATTGATTGAGGAAAATCTGTAACATCATGTAGAATATAGATATTTCATATGAAATCTTATATAGTTGACCCATCCTGCAAATGCAAGTAGGTAAATAAGTACCACTTTAGTGGGAAGGTAACAGCATTCTGTGCATCTTGGCATATAGCAATGATGGCTAACCTTTTCGTTGTCGCATGCTGAAAGTGACCACCCCCTGCCCCCCTGCTCATGCATGTGCAAGGCTCCCCCACGCACATTGCACACTTCTGCACATGCGTGTGTGACCCCTCCTGTGTGCTCCATGTGCCTCTCTGCATGCATGCGCATCTCGTGCCCCCTGCCCCCTGTGCATGTGTGGCAGATACCCGACAACTGGCTGTTGGGAGGTGCGCATGCATGAACAGTGGCTCAGTTACGGGTGATGGCTTGTGTGCCGGCAGAAATGGCTCTGCGTGCCACTTCCGGCATGTGCGCCATAGGTTAGCCATCACGGGCATATAGCCATGCTGATCAATGACCATGGAAATTGTCTTTGGACAACATTGGCTCCCTCTGCTGAGAAGCAGAGATAGCACTGCCCCCTAGAGTAGGATACGACTGGACAGAGGAAATATTTATCTTTACAAATATATTTCAACCATTATGCCTCAGATGTCTGAATGAAATGTCAAACAATATACTGTACTAGAGGTGTGATGAAGAAAATATATGTAACCACTATTTCTTTGCTATGGAGAAATGCTTATTTTGAGTAAAACTGAATTAGATCACAAATGCATTTGTACTTTTGTTTATAATAAAGTAATACATTTACTTTACTAGACTACTCATCTTTCTCATATCTTGTTAAATTTAATAATTTCTAAAGAAGTTATTGTGTGCTTTCTAAATGTAATAGATCGTCCCATGGAAAATCCATATATTTCCAACATTGATGCATTGGACAGACATAAATATTCATAATTTTATCTTTATGCAAATATGCAGCTCATTTACAAGGTGGCAGTCCCTGGTTTCTAGAATCACTAATGTTTTTGATTATAATATGAAACAATTACCGGTAATTATTATGCTGCTTAATCTTAATAAAAAGGTTTCTCCTATGGTTACCATTTTTGCATAAAAAACAATTATATGTACATTATCTGCATATAGGACTATATGAAGAAATTCTTGTAGTTGTGCTGTGCCTAAATCCAGAGATCTGTAGGAAAGTATTACTAGTGAGCAATTTTTCAGATTTAGTGATGTTGATGTCTGGAATAAACTGAAATTTTAAATTCATAAACCCCAAATTCATATTTAGTTGTCCTTTCTCAGTATAAAAAGTTCTAAGTATCATGGAAGTATAATTCCATATTTAGTGCTAAACTAACAGATCATGGAATATGGTATTCATGAAGAAAGAAATTTAATAAATGTTCCATAAATGCCAGCTTAGCCCTGAAAGGGAGGAAGGAAAAAGACTTAATAAGATTGCCTTGCCTTGACTCTCTTTTGTATAAGAGGAACAAGAAAGAAAGAGAGGCTTTCAAAATTCTATTATATCTTTTAACAATAAAAGTGCCAATTTTCTCTTATCTTAAAGGGCTAACAGATCTATTAAAGAATCAAATGTGTATAAGGCTGTGAATTAATCATAGTTTACTTTCAGCATTGTGTTTGCATGTATCCCTCTCCATTATTATCCTTCATTCTGTAAGGAATAAACAAGCTTAATATATTATTTCATGTTTAATCAAAACTAGTAATATAATCCAAAATAATAGCCTGACTTTAAAAAAAAGCTAGCTTTAAAAAAACACCATTTTATATATTTGTTTATCTGAAAATTAAGTTAATTATTATTGTCAGTGATCTTGATGCTTGGGAATGCAGTGTGGTAGTTAAGTTGTTAAATTATAGGTAGTCCTCGACTTACAACAGTTCATTTAGTGATTGTTCAAGGTTATAACAGCACTTTAAAAAGTGACTGCACTGTTGGCTTCCGGTTTGAGTCTCTTTGGCGACAGACTGAAATCCACAATTGTGCGCGGTTTCGTTCTGTGCTCGCTGCCAGAGCGCCCCGAGCCGGCTGGTTTCGGGGCTAAACCACCCCGTAGAGGTGGTGAAGAGGGGGGAGACTGCCAGCAGGGTCGAGGAGAGCTACATCTCTCTTCCCCAGCTGGCCATTACTCCCTTTCCCGAAGGCGGTTACAGCGGTGGTCAGAAATGGCCACCTCAAAGAAGAACTGAACCGGAAAAGAATGTGCAGGAGGAAGATAAGAAGAGAAAGTTTTGGTCGACTGGGTTAAACTGAAAAAGCAACAACGTAAGGTACCCTTGAATTTAAATTAAATAACATTGTTCCCAAAGAAGATTTTAAAGCTGCGAAGGAGAGAGAGAAGGGAAAGGATTAGGTTTTTTTTTCTTCCCTTCCTTATACTGACAGCTAAGAGACTTAAGCAAGAAATTGGAAAAAAATCCACTTTGACATTAATAGGCATCTAAGCTGAAAATAAAAGTCAAAGGGATAAGAAAGATTTCTGGATATTTAAAAGTTTTTAAAAGCAGGAAAGGAGGAAAAAAAAGAATAAAAGGGCAGGATCTGGAAAAATGGAGGAGATTGCCTGGAACTAAGGAATGGAACTGTAACTAAAAGGAACTTACAGTGAAACTTTAACAAGATTCCCCAAAGATACATTTTAACTGAAACTTGGCAACAAAATAATAGAACCCAGGAAGAGAAAGTGGAAAAAAGAAGCAAGAAGAAATAGCCTTGGATTATTTGGATTACTTGGTGATTTTTGTTTTTTGCATCTAAATGACTAAAATTAACCGGGTGGTTGTTTAAAAGTGTTTAAAATGGCATCACTCTTACAAGAACTGAAAATGGAACTTAAAAAATGGAAAGAAGATGCACAAGAAGGGAGAGGTTCTTTTGGCTTCATATTTCAATTTTTAGAAATGGAGATCTGGAACTATGAGAAACAACAAGAAACGCTTGCAAAACAAGAAGATTGGGACAAAGAAGAAGCCATCTTTAATGATCAAATAATTTTAAGTGGGGGGGAAAAAAGGAAAGGGGGGAAAGAGAGTGAAAGGTTTAAGACTAGAAAAAACAACCAAAAAGAAGAAGAAGAATTTGAAAGAAGTATAATATTAGAAAGCAACAGAAGTGGGGATTACAGATGAGAGAATTAGAAGTAGAGAGACGAGGGGGTAAAAAGGGGAGGGAGGAGAAGAGGGGGAAGAAGGTAAGGAAAAGAAGTTGTAAAAGACAGAAACAAGATATAGAGAAACAGGGAAAAGATGTAAGGATTGTAACCATAAGCTTGTTTAGAGGTAATGGGTGAAAATTTAATTGTAAAAGGGATTCTGCAAAGGTACATAAGATAGCATTGTTATATTACAAATAGAAATAATTTTAGAAAATATGACTAAAATGATGGATAAAATATTCACTATAATGTAGTGGAATGTTTGTTAATAAATAAATGATTTAAAGTAAATGAGAGAATTAAATGGGAACATTTTAATTATTAATGATTTATAAAAATATAAGTGAGAAATATGGAAAAAAAAGAATTAATTATGGAAAGTTTATAAGTGTTCCCAAGGAAGTATGATATTTAATTGAAAAGAAATGTTAAAGATGTTAAGATTTTAATGAACATTAATGATAGAATTGAATTGGAATGGAATGTGTGTTTTATTTACATATATATATATATAATCTTTTCTTTTTAAGAATATAGTGTGTATTTTAAGAATGTACCAAGCAGAATTCAATTGGAAGTTATGTATTATATTGACTGCTATAATCTTAAAGGTATACATTGAAGCTTAAATAAGAGTTTGAATGGATAAAATTAAAAGATATAAAGGTGTCATATTCCAATTAGTAACTACAGGGAAAAATTTGTTTAATGAGAAAAGATAATATGAAATTGAAACAGGACAGACAAAAGTATAAATATAATGATTTGAATTGAGATGAGATAATTAAAATAAAGTTGAGAAAATTAAAAGAGGGGAAAAACTATGTAGAAAATATAAAACAGTAACAAGATATGGAATAGAACATAAAAATGAGCATGAAATTGAGTTTGTGTCTGTATGAAGAAGTGATAACCTGGGACCGTGCTATTTTCAAAAAAAGATGTTTTATTTGTATTTTGTTTTTGTGAAAACCCAAATAAAATTTTCAAAAAAAAAAAAGTGACTGCACTGTTTTTCACACTTATGACCTTTGCAGCATTCCCATGTCACATGATCAAAATTCAGATGTTTAGTAACTGGTTCATAATAGTTGCAATATTCTGGGATCATTTGATCACAAAAAGTCAATGGAAATTCACTTAACAACGTTGCTAACTTAACAACTGCAATAATTCACTTAACTACTGTGGAAAGAAAGATTGTAAAGTGGGGCAAAACTCACTTAGCAACATAAATTTTGGGCTCAATTGTGGTCGTAACTTGAGGACTAGCTGTAGTTAACTCTATTCTCAGACATTGAAATTCATTTGCCATTAATTCTTGGAGGACAGCAGGCTATAAATCTAATGAATAAATAAAATCAGAAAAAAAATAGTTTGCCTTAAGTAATTTGATGGACTTCTTCCAATTTTTCTTAATACAGGTTATCAACCTACAAGTGCAAATTATAAAAAGCAGATTGTAGAATTAGGAGGTTTAGCAGAGACTGTGGTTTCATCCCTAACACTTGTTGAAAATCAACTTTCTGAGAAATTATGGATCATCAAAGCTTTGCAACATCTTTCTATTTCTGGTTAGTATGATTTATATTTTAAAATTTTTGTAGCTAATCCTTATCTATTTTATTTTATTTTTCAGTAAAATGCTGGCAATTTGAAGGGAGCTAATTATCAATCCTTTTGTATTTCAGAAGCAAATTGTAAACTTATGATGAAAGCTGAAGCACCAAGAATATTATGTTCTCATCTGAATGATGTTGACCCCTCTGGGCAATTATTATTCCGTTCCTCGGAAATCCTTTGGAATTTATTAGAAAAAACCTCCAAGGAACAAATTATTGAACAGCTCAGTAACTGGGAATGTGTACAGTTAAGCCTATTTACAATACTATATATAAACCTAGATTTTACATATTAGTTTATAAATTAGAAGCTGGCATTTTTATCTTCTATTTCTCATATACGTTAAAAAGAAAGGTAGAACAAGCTTTTTTTCTAATGTTTCTATTTGAATTAGTTATTGATATACAATTAATTATTTATTGCATTAATAAAATACTAAAATTAATAGATTATAGACTAACTACTTTCTGCTTTCTAAACCTTTGCTATGCAATGTTTATTGGTTGGTGTATATTAAACCAAAGAACAAAAATATGAAAAACATGACATGGAAATGCTGCAGAAACTGTAATTTAAAGGACTATAATTTAGAGGATTAGTGACTGTAATTTAGAGGATCTACCATTTGTTCAACACTGTCTTAAATTTCAACAGTTATTGAATAAATGTCTTTAAGTGAGGACCACTAAGTACTGTTTAGATTTTTCAGTATCTAGGAATGATTTTCAATTAGAAAAAGCATAGGTATTAAAATATAGAATTGTGTTATTTTACTTAGTGCTCTGAAGGAAGCATTTACAAATTTACTTATACACGGTTTCCGCCATTATGATCGTCAGTTAAGAAATGACATTTTGGTGATAGCTACTCTTGTTGCTCAGAACCCAGGAGCTCCAATGATTGTATGTATACTTCATTTTGAATTTTGGGCAATTAAAAGTAAATATTGGGAATTAGTTACATGTTCTGTTAACATCATATTGCCAACTTTTTTAGTATAGCCACAGCCTTTCTTCCCTAAAACACATTTATCTTTTCCAAAATAATTATTTCTTGTCTTGGAATTATATATTGCAGAGAAAAACATATAAATGTTTTCAGTGATGGCAGTTAAATATGGCAGGCATAATAAGGTCTTGCTTTATTAAAAAAAGGTTTATTAAACCATAAGAAGTTATGACCCAGAAGGTAAGAAATTAACTCCTATGAATCATCACTAAATAACTTGTCGAAGAGATGGTAATCTAATCTTAACTTTTTCTCTTACCTTAAAATGAGATATAAATTTTACACCTAATAACTTTGCAAAATATTGAATCAAATAACATGTTTTTCTTTTTTCCTTTTGTTGCATGTGTGTGCTTTTACCTTAGTGCTTTTATCCTGTATTAAAAATATACTTTCCTGTATCATCTTATCAAAGTACCCATATTTCTGCTACTATGCATTAGTTTGCATATTAATGTAATGAATACTATTGTGGAGTATCTTGTTATCCAGCTGACAAAAAAGAGGTGAATTAGCTGTAAAAAATGCTAAGGAGGTATGAATAATAAAAGCCTGCATCATTTTTACTTTTCAATGACATGAACTCGAAATTACTACTTCTATCTTTTTTTCTTTTTTTTTCCCTTTGTTATTCAGCTATCATTTTATACTGTCACACTTTGCCTTGGGCAAATTCTGACTGCAAGATTATATCTTCTGGCCTAATATAAGTCTTTTGATCAGGATCTAACTTTTTAATAGGTGGTCAATTCCTCATTGATCATAAGAAAGCTTTCTTGTAAGTCTACCTTTCCAACCAAGAGCAATAAAATGCCTGGTTTTGTTTTTTTCTAATTGTTCTGTATATAAAATTGTTTTTATGGAGACATTGTTTATTTTTCAAGGATTTGGGAAATTATATTACATCTTCAGAATTGGATCTAATCCTTTCTTTATCCCAGCACTCTGCCTTTTGCCATATCACTAAAATTAATAATTCTGTTACTTTTTAAGACTTGAACAAAAAATAATCCTAAATTGGTCCATTTCAAATGTTTGTGAACAGCTACATTGATTTACAAATTCCATTTATATTTTCTAAAAGGTAAATTCTATTTATCCATCCATTATTTAAAATATTTCCATGTGCTTTAGTCTATTATAAATTTAAAAATAACACAAATATAAATACAACAGTTTTTGTACATATCGTAACTTTATGTGTATGTGTGTTTAGGAAACTGGATTTTCCAAACAATTAATATTATTTGCTACTTTTGATGAAGGTAAGTGTTTTAACCATTAATACTTTATGATGTAAATGTGAATTGTGGATTTTTACTTATAAAATGTGTTTAATTCCATTCACAGTGAAAAGTCATAGTCCTTTGGTAAAAGGTCTTAAGCTTACTTCCTGTTATGAAGACTTTGAGCTGAAAAAGCTACTGCTTAACATGCTTACTGTACTAGCAAAAGATTTATGTTCTGTTCAGGTAGGTCATAAAGTAATTGAAAGACATCATAATTCCTCAAGACTTTTAATACTACATGTTTTCAGAGAATTCTATTAATACATCTGTAAATATACATTTATGCTGAAATTGACAGCACAGACAGGGGTGGGATTCTACCAGTTTGGGCGAGTTCAGTGGAACCAGTTGTTATGATTCTGTGCAGTATGAAGACCTGGTAAATCACACCACTGGCTGGTCCCGCCCCTTCCTGCCTGTCCACTCACCCACTGTGCCCAGTAATCCTCATCTCACCTGCCTTTGCTAACCTGCCTTCGCCCACTATTGTTGCCTGCCTTCCACCATGGCCCTGATCTCCCTGGGTGAGTGAGCCTACAAGCAACCCCGGTCAAATTGACTCCCGAGCCGGCCTAGGCCGCTGCGCTGTTCCCCCCCGTCCCCGGGTTTGCCTGGCTTGCTTTACCGCAACCTAGCTTTCTAGCTGCCCCCCCACCGCATGGCCATGGCCGTGCTGGCTGGGAGAATGTTCTCCCCCTGGCCACGAAGAAGCCACAGGGATCCATGGCCATGCTGGCTGGGAGAGAAGGGAATGTTCTCCTTCTACCCTGGCCACAAACAAGCTGCGGGGATCCATGGCCGCACTGGCTGGGAGAGAAGGGAATGTTCTCCTTCTCTCCATGGCCACA